AAATCCCAGGTCTGGAAATCCTCTGTTGTCACTACTCGTTTAACTTATATATAATATTAAATTAATAAGTAATTCTCTAATAATGTTTTTCCCCATTTTTTTCTGTTTAGTCGGCAGACAAAATATTGTCACCAATACACTTCCATCAATAAAATAAATAAATAAAAGAAATATTAACAAAAAGTCAACCCTACGAAAGGACAAAACATTAGCACAAACACGTGCAGATGTAAATTTAGGATTTATATCCAATCATTAATTGGAATTATTATTATTATTTTTTGCCCTAATTAAAGAATGAATGATTGATGCATGTGGAAATAATAATTCCGGTGATCGGAAAGAGAGGGTACCTTGCAGGTGTGGCGGCAAGAGAAGTCGCCGTCGAGGCGGTATTCGTGCATGACCCACTTGGTTTTCTCGCCACGTGGGGCCCTCCCTTTGTAGAAAACAAGTGTTTTCTTCATTCCAAGAAGCTGTGCACCACCACCACTACTAGAACTGTAAACTTCTCTGTCTTTTCCGGTGGCTTTCCAGTAACCGGCGCCGGTGGCTCGGTTTGTTCTGAGGCCAGTTGGGTACTTTCTGTCTCTCAAGCTGAAGAAATACCACTCTCTCTCTCCCATTTTCGCCACATCTACAATTATAACCGACCATCTCTTACTTAATTCTGTCTGTTACTGTAATAAGTGCTGCTGCTACATATATATTTGCAGGAAGATGTAATATTGTCTAGATTTTCTTGCAGAAAAAGTAAAAAGTGATGTAATAATTTATCTGTTATGAACTTTTCAGTTTCTGGAAATGGCTCATTAAAAAGTTGATTTATAATATAACCAAACTTTTTGCTGGCTATAGTAAAAGCTATATATCTATATATACATATATATAGATATGCAGTAGTACTAAATGATGAGTATAATTTCTCATCTGTTTTTTTCAGCTCAACAAATGGCAACTTCCAAGACAATAAAAACATAGTCACAAACATCTCATTTACATAATATGATCATATAATATATATACCAAAAACAAGAAACTCAGAAATGAAATTAGTGCTACTACATACATGCAAACCCTACTTCTGTTTTTTTTTTTTGAATTCAGAGAATTAATAAAATTAAAAAAAAAAAAAAAAAAAAAATAAAGAATATATATATACCAGGAAGTTCCCAGGGTTCGCATCTGTTGAGGTCAACCTCAGCAATGTGGACACCGCAGAAGGTGCCATTGAAGACTTTAGAAGCTAAATAGAAGGTGATAAGCTCTTCATCAGTAGGGTGAAACCTAAAACCAGGTGGCAACCCACCTTGTTCATTCATTTCTTCTCTTTCAAGCTCACACAGTATTTCCTCTATTCCCAACATCTTTTTTTAATTACATGCAACCCCCCTTACAGATTCTTTTTCTTTAGTTAATATGCAAAACAATGAAGGATATATTGAGTACTGATCAGGACTTATATTTATATAATGGGAGTAAATAAAAATAATATAATTAATATTGTGGTGGGAATTTTGGAAGCACTGAAAACGAAGGGGGATGGGAATAGATTTTTTAGAGGGGGGTGGTAATAAAAGCTAATCTGCACAAAACCTGTAAAAGCCACCTGAGAAGGGTTCCAAAAGAGGCAAATAAATTATTATTCAGAAAAAAAAAACATTATTAAGATATGAATGCATGTACAGGGGGGGTGGGGGTGGGGTAGTTAGAGGAGTAAATGCAATATTGAGGAGTTGGTTGCAGAGATTTATGCGTGCGCTTGTGAGCATGTTTTAGATGATGATGACTCTCTCTCTCTCTCTCTCTCTCTCTCTCTCAGATTCATACTGCACCTATGCCCTAATTCTTCACCCTATTTGTATATATATATTTATTATTATTATATATATATGCCAGTAATTTAATTTTTATGATTAGGGGTTTTGTGAAATTTTCTGTTTAATTTCTTCTCATTCATAAGTAATTTAGACATTTTATTTATCTTTAAAAAATTACAAATGATTTTTTTTTTGGAGTAAAATTTAATTCACTAACAAGAGGGGTTATTTCGTAATTTGGTCTTAATTCAGGGAGCTTTTGTCATCCATTAATAATATATTTTGACGCATATCTAATTCCTATAGATACAAATAAAACCCCAAAAAAATAGGTATAATAAGATAAGATAAATAACTCATATATGCTGGAAATTACAGCAAGAGGGGCGAGGGCCCCCATGAAGTAGCCGAAGTAGTATTCAAGTACATCTTTTTGTGTAACCCAAAAATAAAAAAAAATAAAAAAAGAAGGGAAGAAATAGAAAGAAAAGAGGCTAAATACAAAGGTCAGCTTTATAACAGCATCCTTAAAATTGAGAGGCAAATGGACTTTGCACCAATTTGTAGGTTTCGTGTTCTTTTTTGTTCTGACCAATTTTCCTTCACCGGTTCGCACACACTTATCTTCTTTACAATTTACATTACTCTCTCTCTCTCTCTCTAAACTCTAAACCATATATCTAACGGTTTTCTATATTTTCCACTGCCACCTCATCACTTTCTTTTCCATTTTCTTTTCTCCTCCCTTTTTTTTTCAATTTATTAATTATATATACATATATATTCATTTATCTAAAAAAAAATTAATAAAATATAATATTCAACATAAATTTAAATGTGTTTTGTGTGTGAATAAATGATAATCCTTTAGCATAAAAAATCTACTATACAAACTCAACTTTCGAGGCAATAATAATTTTCTTATTTTATTCTTCTCATAAAATATATTAGATATTATTGTACATGGTATACAAAGTATTTTTCGTGAAATTGTATGTTACACCTGTGAATCTGAACCTTTGATATACACATAATTACATTGTGCTTAGGGGATAGTGATTTAATTAAATTTACGATTTAAATCGACTCAATGTAAATAATTAGGAGTAGCATCTAACTTCTGGTGTTTTTTGCAACTTGCAAAATTGAGGCAGAGAAAGAAACACACAAAAGGTGAAAAATATAATTACATATTGAGTGTGCAACCATGTTTTTGCCCAATTCCATGACAAATCAAATCAAATTTACTTATGCCCTTTTCAATTACTGCAACTTTTATTTTCCAGAAATCCTTAAAATGGATCCACATTAATTATTTCGAATTATTAACCGACTATTACACAATTAATATAATTGTTTCTCCTAATAAAATAACATTCAAACAATCAGCAAAATAATAATAAAAAAATTGCAAAAAGAAGGCTGATTTTTTATTTATTTTTTCAATTTAATATTATTTTGTACGTATATGTATATATAATAAAATAATAGGTACAATAATGCAGAGAGTATTTAGTGAGTTAAGCAAGTAAAAGATAGCAACAGTGAGAATCTAATGGCAGCAAAAGAAGCAGACCCTAATATATGCACACGTACGTATTTGTAACCCACACCTATATCCCTACCTACTTTCCCCTATTTTATTATTATTATTATTATTATTATTATTATTATTATATAAATAGCTTTCTGCAACTCTAATTAAGGATTCCCGTCAACAATTATTTTTATTTTCATTACTACGTTTCCAACATGTTTCTTCAAGAAAATATTTTTCCTATTGCATTAAATGTTACATTACTTGATCTCCATTCACCTCAATTTTTTTTTAAATTTTAGTATTTTTATGGGGTATCGTATGGTAGCGTAGCGTGTAAACAAGTCGAGCTCAAGTACTAAAGTTGAGTCTGTCGAAAAAAAATTAATTACCAAACACTTTAGAAGAGCTTATAAACTCATAAATATCTTATAAGTTATTTTTAACCTCTTTTAGCTTAAACAACACGCTCTAAAAATCATGTTAATTGTCAATTGGATTGTGTTATTATTAAAAAAAAATATTAAAAAGGTTGATATAATTAAAAAGTTTATAGTTGCAATAATATTAGTGAGATAGTGACGTGTGATATCATAGGGTAGAGGGGTAATAGAGAAAATATATATAGGGTAAATTGGATGGGTATGTTGAGATTCGAGCCCTCTTAAATTCCATTATTGTTTGTCCAATTGCATCCCTTTGCTTCACTCTCTCTTCTTTACCTGCACTCTTACATTATTTTTCTACCTTTTTTTTTTTCATTTATTGCAATGCCCTTTTTCATTTTAATATATATATTTATTTAAAATTAAAGGTGTTTTATTAATTGTTTTGTGTTATTTTAGTATACAAGTGAAATTAAAATATTTGCTTGTACATATAAAAAAAATTACACCGCTTTAGAAGACTTGATGTTACAGATATTTCATTATTATTAAATAGGGTAAATTACAAACACCCCCTGAGGTATGGTCAAATTACAAAAACCCCCCTCTTGTTTGGATAATTACATCTACCCCTCAACTATGATTTTTTCTTAGACCTGCACCTTTATGGGTGCCAAATTCAACATAGTCATCTAGATTCCGTGAAACGTGCTCTAAGTTTGTACTCGTTTTGTGTAAAAAATACAGTTTTCCGATGCACCACAAACTGATATATACAGGCTAAAAATCACATATTATGATCATCTTGCTTCATAATGTAGAGGTTTGAATGGGATAAAAACGGGTACAAAAGTGATAATATTCCATATAATCTCGAAGATTCTACTGAATTTGAGGAGTTGAGGGGGGGGGTTGAAATTATCCAAACCAGATGGGTGTTTTTGTAATTCGACCATACCTCAGGGGGTGTTTGTAATTTACCCTTATTAAATATTTTTTTAAGCTTCTTGCATAATTCTCCGGCAACATATCTCGTTAAGTTTTCATAATATGGCATACATGATGGGGTTTTTGTAATTAGATATTTCCTCGGGGGAGTTTAAAACGGACAAGCACCATTCCTAGGGGCATTTTCATAATTATATAAATATAAGGGGATTCTTATAATTAGACATTAGCTCATGGGTAATTTGGCCTACTAATTAATGAAGAGGGAAGAAGGAATTAGTAGTAATTAGTAGCGTATAAGTGAGAGTGTACGTACGACGTAGCATTGTATTGCAATCATGAAGCTCTGATTTTTTTCTCTGCAGTTTTCCTCTCCGGTGGAACACTGCTTTTTCGTACAATTAATTGCATTCAGTTCACCATCACACACACAAACACACACAGTTGACGTTTCTCATAGTTCTTTTTTCTTTCCTTTTTTTGGTCTCCATACTTATATTAAAATGCGCTTTCTGATTTTTAGTGAACTTATGTTAATTAATATATAGTAGTAATTAGTAAATAATAAAATATCATAATTGTCTCTATAGGGGCAATTATTAATAATCATCCACCACTTTTATTTGGCGTTCGTCTTTTGGACTAGGTTTGAGTTGTTTTTGCCGAACACCGACCCCGGTTTTAAAAAAAAATGGTTTTAGAGGTCATACTGGACTTTCTCATCGCTGGTCTCGGTCGAACCAGCCCGATTCTGACAAAATTGGTACAAACAACTCATGCTTGCAAACTCAAACAACAATATAGTTAAAAACATCAATCTAAAATCTCCTCACAAAATGTTGAGATGAATCCAAATTTCAGAGTTTTGCAGATATTTACTACATACAATGTAATATATCTGAGTGATTTTGCACAATTAATTTACAAACAATAACACACACACTCATGTGTCTGTGTGCTAGTGTGTATTTCTTTGTATAAATCTATGGTGCAAAATCACCCGATGCTTTTGACCAGACGTAACATGATCTCATGGACCATAATTTAGTAGCCCAATCACAACAAAGATACTATACCAAAACAAAATGCAGATCCATATGTAAATATGGTATGATTTAGTTTGGGCTTCAGCCCAAAAGTGACCTTATTTGCTGGAGGCCCATCCTTTATAATGTTCATGTTGAATACAAGTTTGACCATAATTTTTCGTTAATTATTTCCATATTACCCTCCACATCGAACTCATGTTCATTTAAATTTATTTCATTTTTAACGAGTTTTAAAAATTGCGTTTGAGTTTAATTTGATTCAAATATCATAGTTTATCGAACAATTGAGGCAAACATCATAGTTTACCGAACAAAAATATATGTCCAAGTTTGATTTGTTACGTTAACAAACTGAACTCAGATAAGCTTTTAGTTTGTTTTACTTCAAGAAAACATTAAAAAAAAAAAAAAAAAAACATTAATTTAATTTAATTAGGACTTTCTCCAGCAAATTATAGCATCATGCATGCATGTGTGTACAGTCAGACTTTCTGTACATGAAAATCATGAAAGCCATTACAAAATAATTCAAGAAAACATGCTTTAATTCAAAGAAATCTTTCCATTAATACAAACCAACCTTAAAAGTCTCACACACCTTAACTTAGAAGCAAACACTATCATATTATTTCTTTTTAATTTTTTTTAATTATTATTATTATTATTTCACACACACACACACACACACACAACAAAATCATGTATCTATAAATACCCTACATCTTCTCCACCATCAATCATCTCTCTCACACATCATCAAATAAACACAACTATCTCAAAAAACAATGTCTCCCAACAAACTCTTATTTCTCGCAGCTGGTTTTTTCTTGTCCTCTCTCTTCATCGGAGCGTATGCACGCGATTTCTCGATCGTGGGCTACACTCCCGAGGACTTGACCTGCATAGACAAGCTCATTAATCTCTTCGAATCATGGCTCGAAAAGCACAGCAAGAAGTACGAAACCCTAGAGGAGAAGCTCCACAGGTTCGAGATCTTTAAGGACAATCTTAAGCACATCGACGAGAAGAATAAAGCCACCACCAACTACTGGCTCGGCCTTAACGAATTCGCCGACTTGAGCCACGACGAATTCAAGAAAATGTATTTAGGCCTCAAGGTGGACGACAAAATGCCTAGGAGAAACGAATCCCCCGAAGAATTCAAGTACCGGGAATTCGAGGCGTTGCCTAAATCCGTCGACTGGAGAAAGAAAGGCGCCGTCGCTGCCATCAAGAACCAAGGCTCGTGCGGTACGTAACAATTTTTTTTTTTTTACGGAATTGAGTATTCGTAAATTAAATAATAAATATGTGTATGTATATTGTTATAACGTATATTGTTATTATAGGGAGTTGTTGGGCGTTTTCGACTGTGGCGGCGGTTGAGGGGATAAACCAGATCGTGACGGGGAATCTGACAGAGCTGTCGGAACAAGAACTGATTGATTGCGACACAAGTTACAACAATGGATGCAATGGTGGATTAATGGATTATGCATTTGCATACATTGTTTCCAAAGGTGGTCTTCATAAGGAAGAAGACTACCCTTACCTTATGGAAGAAGGAACTTGTGAAGAAAATAGGGTAATACTATTAATATTAATATTAATTAATAACTACATAAGTTATAACTATACATATGCATGCATGCATGCATGCAAGCATGCAATTTTAATGTGTTTTTTGCATTAATAAATATTCAGGAAGAATCGGAGGTGGTGACGATAACGGGATACAACGATGTACCGGCAAACGACGAGCAAAGTCTGTTGAAGGCATTGGCTCATCAGCCACTGAGTGTAGCAATTGATGCTTCCGGCAGAGATTTCCAGTTCTACAGTGGGGTACGTACAGTTTAAGAAACAAGGGCAAAATTGGTAAAAAGAAATGATTAATTTATTAAATTTTTGAAAAATGGGTTTTTTGATTATATATAGGGTGTGTTTGATGGGCATTGTGGAACGGATCTTGATCATGGAGTGGCAGCCGTTGGATATGGATCAAGCAAAGGATCTGATTATATAATAGTGAAGAATTCATGGGGGCCAAAATGGGGGGAGAAAGGTTTTATTAGGATGAAGAGGAATACTGGCAAACCTTCTGGAATGTGTGGCATTAACAAAATGGCCTCTTTTCCTACTAAAACTGTGTGATAATTAACCATATATTTAATTTCAAATGTCACTTGTCGTTTTTTATTTTATTATATTTACTATTAATTTCTGTAATAAATAATATTTGGTTTTTTTTCTTTTCTTTTTATGTTTATTTTCTGTTAAAATGTATTTTTTCTTGGAATTTGTATTGGAAATTCTCATTTGTTTGAAGAAATTATTTGTGTGAATTATGTAGCGTTTATTACTTAATTTTACAGGGTAAATTACGGCAAACCCTTCTTGGACAAGGTTAAATAAGAAAATAATCCTTCTTGTTTGGATCATTACAATCACTTTTTCTTAAGTATGAATTTTCTTAGACGTCCACTAATGTGGTGTCAAATCTAATGGAATTTTTCTAGATTTTGTAAAATATTCTTTAATTTGTACTCGTTTTATTCCATTCGAGCACCACATTTTGCAAAAAAAAATGATCATACGATGTGTTTTTTGACTTGTAAATATCAGATTGTAGTGCATCAGAAATCACATTTTTGCACAAAACGAGTACAAACTAAAAAGCATTGCACATAATCTAGAAGATTATAGCAAATTTGACACCATGAAGGTAGGCACGTAAAAATATTCATAGTTGAGAGATGATTGTAATTACCCAAACATTAGGGATTTTTTTTCGTAATTTGACATTACCGCACGTAATTTACCCTACTTTTATATATAATTAGATGTGTAAAACTCAATAATTACCTGGCATTTGTTTATTTTATTGACAAGATCCAGGATTCAACATAGGTGTAGTGAGGAGGTAGGTTTAATCTTAAATTCAAGTAATTAATTAATTAATTAAAATGTTTGTTATTTCTTCTTTTTACTTGTTTTGTTTTATAATACACAGAGACCTTTTTTTTTTTTTTTTTTTGATAAATCAGCCTATTTAATTTGTATAATAATTATTAATTAGAGATTGAATTTGAAGATGCATTTGAGCGAGAGTGAGGGGATTGAGAAGAAGACCTTCGTCGTCACCGGCGGCCTAGGTTTCGTTGGTTCCGCCCTCTGCTTGGAGCTCGTTAGACGAGGCGCCCACCAAGTCCGCTCCCTTGATCTCCGGCCGGAATCCCCCTGGTCCGACGATCTCCGCCGTAACGGCGTTTCCTGTATTCAAGGTTTGTTTCTACGTTTTCTCTAGTTAGCAGTATGAAATTAACTAACTTTATTACTCGCGATTCCCAATTGAAATTTATGAGATGGAGATTTTCTGGAATGCATTTTGTTCATGTAATTTTCAGATAGGGTTTTTGGTTTCTTAGATTTATGGTGAATCTGCTATCAATTAACTACAATTATTCCTGTTTTGTGGATTGGAAATTATTTTTGCTACAGATGATTTTTCGGATTTTGAGGACTTGCTAAAACAGAAGATATTAGAAACTCAAATTGAAGCTTTATGTTCAATTATACAGGGAATAAAGGATCCGGATTAGGTTTGTAATTGTGTATCGTTTGTTATTTCTTAAAATAGAAACCATTATTTCTACTCTTCATCGGTGATTCTATTAGGCCTCGTTTGGGATTGTTGATGGGATTGGTTAGGATTACGTTGTCCATGATAATATGATATGTGATTATCTTATGTTTGACATTTGTGATCATACAATCCTTGCATTCAGTAGTATCTATCATCGGATTGTGTGACAATAGGGGTTGACTTTGGACTAAATTGTTGATAAACCCCAAACATTTGACAAAACTTGATTGATGTTGTCTATCGAACCTATTTAAAATTCCCAAACAAATCCTTATTATTTCAGCTATTAGCTTCAATAAATCAGTTTACACGAAAACGTATGTACTTTTTAGGGGACATTTCCAAGAAGCAAGACGTTGAAAATGCATTACAAGGGGCGGACTGTGTTTTCCACCTTGCTTCATATGGCATGTCCGGCAAAGAAATGCTTCAGTATGGCCGAATCGATGAGGTAAACATAAACGGAACTTGCCATATTTTGGATTCTTGTCTGGAAAAAGGAGTCAGTAGACTTGTCTATGTTAGCACATACAACGTTGTTTTTGGTGGCCAAGAAATCACAAACGGGAACGAAGCCTTACCTTACTTCCCCATCGACGACCATGTGGACTCGTACAGTCGTAGTAAATCCATAGCCGAACAATTAGTCCTCAAGAGCAATGGTCGTCCCTTCAAGTAAGTTAGTAACAATAATTAAAAAATAAAAAATAACAATTGTTAATAGGGTTTTTCATTTTAGTGAAGCATTCATAATTCGTGACAGAAAAAAAAAAGGAAAATTATACTCGTGTGCAATTCGCCCCGCTGCTATATATGGACCGGGTGAAGAAAGACACTTACCTAGGATTATAAAGCTTGCGAAATTGGGACTTCTTCTGTTTAAAATCGGCGAAACGAATGCGAAATCGGATTGGGTTTATGTTGACAACCTCGTACTAGGACTGCTCTTAGCTAGCATGGGGCTTTTGGACGACATTCCTGGGAGAACAGGACAACCCGTTGCTGCTGGACAACCTTATTTCATATCGGATGGTAAGTTTTTGGTCTATCTTTTAGCGGATGGCATTAATTTGAATTACCTCTTTCAGTTTTCCTTATAAATCTCAACCTCAACAGGTTATCCAGTCAATAGTTTTGAGTTCCTTCGGCCACTACTCAAAAGTTTGGACTATGATGTGCCAAAATCATCATTACCTGTGCCAAAAGCTCTTATTTTAGGGAAGATTTTTTGGGTTTTTTACTCGTTTTTATATCCATGGCTAAGTCGAAAATGGCTTCCTCAGCCGTTGATTCTTCCTGCTGAAGTGTACAAGGTTCTTGATTTATATTCTTTTATGATTTTCTTAGACCACACAAGAATAATTTTATTTTTCATTTGATATATTTTCTTGAATGATGGGGGCAGGTAGGTGTGAGCCATTACTTCTCGTTTCTGAAAGCAAAGGAGGAATTGGGCTATCGGCCGATGGTTAGTCCTCAAAAGGGTATGCAAGAAACAATTACGTACTGGAAGGAGAGAAAACGGAGAGAATTGGATGGGCCCACACTATTGACATGGATATTAGTTGTGATTGGAATGACAATTCTATTCTGTGCAGCATACATGCCTGCCTATGGCCCTGTTCCCCTGTTTAGAGCAATTAACCTTTTCGTCTTTCGTTCTATCCGCACTGTACGAGTTGTTTTTCTTGTCTCGATGGCTTTGCATTTGGGTGAGGCTGTCTATGCGTGGCAGCTTGCAAGAAAGTGCGATCCTGCTAATGCAAGAGGTTGGTTTTGGCAGACGTTTGTTTTGGGGTTTTTTTCGTTGCGTTGTCTCTTGAAGAGAGCTTGAAAATGTTGTTGACAAATTAATTGTAGTATTTGTTGTGTTGTAAGAAACTTCTTTGAATTATGACAATGTGTAAGTAACCAATATTTCATTTGATTATAAGATCTCCCATATTATATAATATTAATAGACAACAGAAACAAAATACATCTGCATGGGTAGAAAACTACATTCAACATGTAAGAACACCTCGTGGTCTTTACTCCGGTAATATAATACAGGCCAAAAAAAAAAAAAAAAAGACGAAGGTAAGATTTTCGCAGAAAGGGTAGTTTATTTCCACGGCAAGCCAGACATGACCTGGGGGTGGTGGTTGTTATTATAAGTGCCGGAACTGAGATTGAGGGGGCTAGCGGCACCACCGCCGGAGGATTCGCTGAAAGTCCCTCTCGACGGCGAGCTGCTGCCACCGAGGTTCATTTTAGGCGGAGCAGATGAAGGCTGGTGCTCCATGTAGTTTGATGATTTCTTGTCTCTCCTACCATCTGCTATGAAGCTTCCAACTATTACCTGCAATTTTTAATCACCATTATTGATTAACAAAAATGTAATTAGCATTAATGATACTTACAATTTAATTAAAATCTAAAACAATGTACCTGAACAGGGGATGATGCAATAAGTAAACCAGCCACACAACCACCGAAAACTCTTCCATCAGGTCCAGCTAACGTCGTGCTTAACCCACCAGTTCTGCTTTTTTGACCGCCAACATCAGTTTGCATAAACGAGCCTGACAGGGACAATAGATCAAACCGCCCCTACACGATAATACAAATTAATTTATTAAAAATAAATAAAGCTTAAACATCGAAATTTTATTTATTATATAGCCAAACCTCGTAAGTGGCAGTTCCGCCAGATGTCGCAGACTGGCGAAGCGTCACGTTAGATACGGTACCATTGGCAGATAAGATGCAAATAGCCCTTGGACCATTCTGAGAAAATGCCATTATTTTTGAAGATACATCCTGTGTGGATTTAATAAGCTTTGCATTACAATTTACAAATGGAAATTTAATATTTAATGTGTTACTTGAGGATTCAAAAATTAAGTATTTGAGAGATAACATATCCGTAACAGAAACGAACTATCCGAAGCTATAGAGTGAGATGCTAGAGTATCGTAATAAAGACACTCCTGACATGAAATAAAGCAAAAACAAAATGAATGTCTCTCTGTTCACTTAAAAAGAAAAATATATAAATATATATAAATATATATAAAGGGTTAAATTGTTAACCTCTCCCGGCTTTACGTTGATAACATGAGGTATAAACCCAATCCCAGTTGAACCTGTTACGAGTAACTTTAGATCCGATTTTCAAGTTATAAGATAAGTGGAAAAACAATGAGTACATTGCCACACAAACCAAATAAAGAGTAATCGAAAAGAAAGCAAGATTGTGGAGCACAAGGATTGTTAATCATAAAATGTTAAAGAGATAAATACCATAAAACTATAATCTCGACTTCTCGAGTCTCAACCAATTCTTTTTTTTTCTTTTTCAACTCATAAAAGATGGACAAGATATGGACAAGATAACAAATGTGAAACAACATGCGACGATACAAGTCAGCATACATATTTAAGAAAAGGCAAGAAGAATAATAGAGAGGGGCATGCTTGTAAATTCCACTTCTATTAGATTCTTGAGTTGCTTAGATACAGCAGATTCCCGGAGCAGATTCCCGGATCTAATAAATAAAAGATCATTCATCTTTAAAGCAGCACCACAAAAAATCCATTTGCAACACTGTAAATATATTCCAGCATCAAAATAAAACACCATGATTGACCTATTTATAGTTCGTTCCCTCGATTTAACTATATAACTAACACAAACTAAAAGCTTCAGACATATATTTAACAAATCATATTGAATATATAAAGTTAATTACCTATAGCTTCCATTTGCCTTCTCTTATTGCTTGAACCAGGTGGTCTTCCCCTTGCTTTCTTGCCGGTGGGTGAGGCCGATCCACCTGCTACCGGTGGCTGCGATTCCATCGGAATCGAAGAGGGGCCCACCAAAGGGGAAGCAAATGTCTGCGTTTGTGGTGGCATTAATGGCTGCTGGGCAGAAGCCATGGCCATGGCGGCGCTTACATCTGAACCATACTTCCTCGGCCGCCCCCTTTTCCGCTTCTGATCGCCGGAGTTCAAATTCATCACCTGCTTGTTCACGTCAGCGCCGCCGCCGGGGATTGGTTGGTACGGCGGCGAAGAGGTCGGTGGTCTGTACGCGCCGCCGTCGGGCGGGTAGTTCACGCGCATGTGTTGGTCCAGCTGAGGCTGTGAGGCAGCCGTATTTTGCGGCGGCACCGGTGACATGGTCGGAGCGACTGTGAAAAACTCGCGGCTTGCCATGACGGATGCAGCTTCCGGCGCACCCGACATTATTTCGTCGGGTTTCCGAAATTACCCTCGGAAGTTCCGGGAATTACCTGAGAACCAGAAGAAAAATAGAGTGGCCGATAAAATAAAAAATCGCAGATCTTCAGTACAACGAAAGGCCCAATTGGGTAATGCAACGTCGCAGTGCACTGGAAAAAACATGCACGCGCTCAAGAAGGGCGTGAAGAACTCAAATTCGAAAACTGAAAAGTTTGCAGAAGTTTCAATTTTCACAAAAAACAGCGAAAAAGCGAATTTCGCAGAAAGAAATCGAGTTGGTAGGGAAGCTGTAAAAGCGAAAAGCACTTTTTTTGCAGTAAAACCTTCAAAATTAAGCAGAATTCACCCAATTTCCCGAGGGATCGAGCAAAAAAAAGACCAAATAAAGCTCGAAATTAATAAAAAACGAAAATTAAAAACTGTTTCAGAAAATCCTAATTCCCACTCATTTACTGTAAATAATAAATAAATAAAATTACATAAATAAAGAAGAAAATCAGGAAAAATAGAGAAAAATGAGGAATAACTTACCAATAATTAGGGAAATTTTTTGTGCACCAGCGAAGAATTAAAAAGTGGTAAAGCGAGAAGCGAGAGAATTTTCTAGGGATTCTGAATTGAGAAAGAGAAAAAATAAAATAGGGTTTTTGCGGAGAAAATAAAAAGGGTTTCGTAAATATTAGATTCAGTTAATTATTATTTATATTTACTTAATTATTTATATTTACGAATTACGATGGGCGTTCGCTTTATATTTTTTTAACCTATTTTCCCTATGTGTAAAATTAAGCCCAAATTTGAGAAACCGAAAACTATCAGGACTCAAATGAAATAAAGCCTTCAAATGAAATAAAGCCTTAGTTACGGGATGAAAATACAATTTTCTTGTAATTAATTAATTTTGAAAAAAAGAAAGAAAATCGAAAATCCAATTTATACATCATCCCTCAGTCACTCACACCTTTTCCCCAGCTGAAGAAGAAGGAAAGCAATGGCCCCTATTTCTTTGAATTCCCATTCCTTTCTCTCTCATCCCACATTTTCTCTCTCCCCCTCCCCTCTACGCCAAGGTATGATTAATATTCCTCCATTTTCTGAAATTAATTACACTGTTGTGTTCATTCATCAATCATCACTTCTTTTTCTTTGATTGGGTTTTCAAGGGCAAAAGAGGAACAAGAACTCCAGTTTCATCTTCTGCTGCAACAATGGCGTCGATCACCACCAAACCCCACGGCAATAATTCTTCAATTTTGAATATTCCGTTAAATACAACAAATTTACTTCTTTTTTTTTAATTTAATTTAATTTAGTTTCTTGATTGCTAACAGTGTGAGCATTGTAGATGAATGTGGGACTAGGAGAAAGCTGCTATTTCAGGCAGTTTGTGCCACGTTTGCTTTTCCTGCACTTGCTTCGGCAGCCGAAACCCGTAAAAATCCGTTTTTTCCCTCAAAATTCATTTTTTCGTGGTTTATGCAAATTTAAATAAATAGGTGTTAGTGTGATCCTAGTCTTGAATTTGCAGAATTACCAGAGGATTTCCGTGTTTACACGGACGATGTGAACAAGTTTAAGATCAATATTCCTCAAGGTGAGTTATTCGGTTTTATTAAAATTTCGTGCTCGGTTGGTATAGCAACAGTTAGACGAAAAAACTTTAAAATGGAATGTATAAATGCAGATTGGCAAGTCGGAAACGGAGCAGGCGATGGAGTAAGGTCACTAACTGCCTTTTATCCTCCAGAAGCTTCCAGCTCAAACGGTATCCAAAACACGATCATTATATAATTTTCTCGCTTCAAGTGTAATATGAGTTTTTTTGACATCGTGCTTTCTTTGTTCGCTGCAGTGAGTTTAGCAATCACGAGCCTCGGTGCCGATTTCACGAGATTGGAGTCTTTTGGTAAAGTCGATGCATTTGCAGAAACTCTAGTAAGGCTTCATCCACTTTCCAATTAAAAAAAAAATAGGAAATACGAACAAAATGTGGGTATAGAAAAGTCGGTATTGTAAATAGTATTTTCCGATTACGCAGATTGGAGGATTAGATAGAAGTTGGCAGAGGCCGCCTGGTGTTGCGGCGAAACTCATAGACACCAAAGCTTCCAACGGTAGAGTATAATATTGCACGCAATTTAATTTAATTTAATTTATTTTTCCAATTCGGTATTTAACATTTTCTGGTATCGGTTAGGATTTTATTATATCGAGTACACGCTGAAAAGTCCGGGAGAAAGTCGAAGACATTTGTTTTCGGTGCTCGGTGTAGCAAATAATGGTACCTACAACAGATTATATACACTCACTGGGCAGGTCAGTATTTGCTAAAACCATATCCTTTATAAATTAATGCTGTATTAGTTTAGCTATCTGCTTCTACTTATAAATTTGTTTCTGTATGCGGCAGTTTGTCGATGAAGACGAAGAAAAACTTGGACCCAAAATTAAGAAAGTGAGTCGAATGAAATTTATTTCATCTCGTTGCTTTATAACACACACACACGCGCATATCTGTATGTATTTATATATAATTCCATTTCCGACTTTTGGGCTTTCTTCGACAGGCTGTTTCATCATTCAGATTGATGTGAAGGTTCGTGGAGAATGGTTTTAGTCGAAGGCTTTTAATTTATGTTCATTGGAAATTGAAAAGTTTGGATCCATATTTTGAGAATTACCGTGTTTTCTCAGGTGAGATACTTCGACGTCGAAAAGGCGAAATACTTGTTGGCATGCATCATACACTAGACTATAATCTTTCAGTTCTGCTGAAGTTAATCTTGTGTTTTTTTTTTCTTTTCGTTTTGTAGGTCGATGATGCCAACATGAAGAAAGACACTAAACTTCGGACAGGTGTAATTTGAGTTATTTTATGCACCTATATTTGTACGAGAGGTCGACGATTTTCACAATTTTTGTCAACTATTTCTTGGTTGTTTATGGATAAACATCTTTTATACCATATATTTTACTGTTACAAAATATAAAAATAAAGAGATATGTGCATTTCAACGTTTTTTAGCAAAAAAACGTGTGCTATAGTATATGATTTTTTGTGAATTTAGGTCTGTTAACAAAATATAAAAAGAAAAAGATATGTGCATTTCAACGCTTTCTAGCAAAAAAATATGTGCTATAGTATACGATTTTTTGTGAATTTAGCTCTGTTAAAAAATATATAAAGAAAAAGATATGTACATTTCAACGCTTTTTAGCAAAAAAATGTGTGCCAGCATTTAGCTCTATTAAAAAATATGAAAAGAAAAAGATATGTGCATTTCAACGCTTTTTACCAAAAAGCGTGTGCTAGTATACGTTTTTCTGTGAATTTAGCTCTGTTAAAAAATATAAAAAGAAAAAAATACGTGCATTTCAACGCTTTTCAGCAAAAAAAATGTGTGCTATAGTATACGTTTTTTTGTGAGTTTAGCTCTGTTAAAAAATATAAAAAGAAAAAGATATGTTCATTTCAATGCTTTTTCAGCAAAAATACGTGCGCTTCTTTCTAGTATACGATTTTTTGTGACTATTAAGAAATCAGTAAAATAATTTTTAGATGAATAGTTTTTTTTGACTATTTATGGATAAACATCTTCTATGCATAAATTTGAGTGGTAAAAATATTAATAATGATTTGAACAGTATTTTTTAGCCAAAAAACGTGTGCTATATAGTATAGCATTTTTCGTGATTTTGATGGACTATTCAAACACTAGTAAAACAATTTTTAGATAAACTATATTCTTGAATATCTATGGATAAACACTTGTATACTGTGCATATATGTACTAAAAAAATATTTTAAAAACTATGAATATTTCAGCAATTTTTAACAAAAAACGTGTGCTATAGTACTCGATTTTAAGAAACTGATACAAACAACTAACGTAAATAAGTCGAGATACTATAGAACACGTTTCAGGCTGAGACGGAACAAACAAACTGAACATATATTAAAACCTACGACTACCAACTTTCACATCCATTAAAATTACTATAACACAAAGAAGATCAAAGAGACAGTCGAGTTATACAAAGACAAGTAATAACATCAAGAAATCACTCACTCTTGACAGCCTTCTCGCCTGCCTTGGGTGCAGCAGTTTTGTGAAACAGAATAGTTAGTTGATCGACAAACAGACGGTTCTGCAAATGTTGGAATTGCTGCCTTTTCCTCTCTGTTTCTAACTCGAATTCCTCAAAGTGGATAATCTTTTCTTCCATCTCCTTCGTCTGCAAAATAAAATATTATAATTATGAAAAACAGCATACATATATATACACAATTATATATAGCACACGTGCAAGATTGAACACCTGAGTCGCAATTCCAGATATTGCTTTCTCCAGCTCCTCTTCTTCCTTCTCAAGCTGCAAATTTGCTTCGAGAAGAGCTTCTTCTGTTGTGTTTGGGTTATTACCATTTGTTGCAATATCAGATTCTGCATCGGAGAAAAAAGACCATTATTTGTATCTTTGCTGATGTAAAATAACATTGGAGCAAAATGCCCTCTTATTTTTCTTGCACCAACGCAAAGACTTGTCCTTATTGCTTAGGAATATATTTATTATGTGTGCAGCACAAAAATTGTTTATGTTGGTGTCATTAATTGTTTATTGACACTAAAAATAACCTAGTGAATCCATGCAAGGGCAATTTGCAACATGAATCAGATGATGGGGAGACCTTTGTTTTTGCATATTTTATAAGCAAAAAAAAAAAAAAAAGATTTACGAAAAGATTGAGCATTGGCAAAGTCGATGAAATACATCGGAAAGAACTAGCATAAACCCTCTTGTACTTTGAATTGTTTCATGTGTCTGTCACATTTACCCTTTTCCCCTTGATGAGTTCATAAACTAATTTTATAAAAACCGAATATCTTAATTAGATCACTGATGAAAGAAAATGTAGAGCATTAGAAGTTGTCCTTATTTACTAAAAGTAGCATAAAACGAGAATCTAATGAACCACAAAGGCAGAAGTCTACCTTTCTGTTTTATATTGACAAGATCAGACAAAGCCGTTACTGCAGCACGAGCTGCCACTTCTGCAACATCTACTCCAACCAATGTGGATAGGAAAGCAGCCTGAGGAGATGCCAATAAGATAAAGCGACAGACACATTAATTGTACTTTAGTGATTAGCTTAGGCATAAACAACCAAAAAAGATATAAGGCCTTCCAATAATCAGTTGAATAACAGGTTGTTTGCAATGAAAAGAGGGAGTTAGTTTTTACCTGCGCCATAATTGGATTACTTGCATCGGCAAGTGGCGAGAGATGCATCCTTTTTGTTGGCATGGCTACATTTTGTAAACCTAACTCAGTATCAGGCTCTGCAGATTCTGGAGGACCGTCAAACTGTTCGCCAAATGGAAGCTTTACGAATCGAGCAACACATTCCTTCGCACTTCTTCCCCCAACATGTTCAGCGACTTTCTTCCAGTCATCACCATAATGCATTATACCTTCTAGAAGTTGCAAAGTCTCTTTATCAGTCCAATCTGATTTTGCCTCTTCGCTAATCTCAACCCGCTTAAAATCCGTCGAACTCAAACCCAACCTGTAATTACCCCGGACATAGCACCTCGCACAAAGTGTCATATCGTGCTGCTCAGATAAAAAAACAGCAGTTTATCTATCAAGATTCGAGTTTCTAAAAGTACCAAAGCTTGATTTACAAAATAAAGAGACCTATATGAAGTGATTTAGAAAATTATTAAAACAAAAGGCATGTCTGTAGGTATATATTGAGAACACAATTATTGGGCATATAAGTGTCAGAAGAAACATATGATCAACCGAAGTTCAGCTCGACTAATTTCACGAATTAATTGCAGATCAACAAAATTATCAAAGGGGTAGGAATAGAGAGTTACCTTATCAGATGCGAAACAAGCAATGGTACAAGGGACCTTGCAACCACTGCAAACCCTCTTCTTCTGTGCTGAATCAGCGGCCCCGCCGCTAGAAGCAGCAGCAATGTCGCTGCCCTGAGCGGCGGCGGCAGCAGCAGCGGACTTGGTCTCCTTCTCCTCCCACTTCAGCTGAGGCTTGGTAGTAGAACCGGCGTAATTGATCAAACCCCATGTCTCAAGGAACTCAAAAACCCTGCGAATGGACCCCACATCACCGATTGTTGTCTTCCGCACCTCGGTGAAAGTGATTTTCCGATTAGGATTTTCTCGGAAGCGCCGTATGATGGCATTCCGGTAGTATTTGTAAACCCTAGGGTTCTTCGAGGACGACTTCCCATCAAAGAACTCCGGCACGAACTTGGCCTCGCATTCATGAATGCCGCTCCACGAAAACCAGCCTAGAAGCGATGAAAAGC